AAAAAAATTACTTTAGACTGTCTGGATTTGATTTCCCCAACATATGTTTATGACAGCCCTTTCTTTGTGACTTATTTGTGAATTGCAGACCCATACAGAAGAGTTGAAACTTACTTGCTTTTGAAAATCTTAGTGGAGGGTGGGGTTTAATTTTATATATAAAATGATAGAAGGATGTTTAAATGCAATAAAATTTATTTATATGCCACAAAACCTGAAACAATAGATAAGAAAAGTGAACATATATGATAAACTACAGAGACATTAAATTACTTTAAAACTTAATTTTCTAAACCAATGTTTCCCAAACTGTTGGGCAGAAAACCTCAGCAGCAGACTGACTTGGGTGTTTGCTAAAAATGCAGATTCCTGAGACCTATCTTAGATTTAAGGAATTAGAAATATGTAGGGGTGAGGTTAGGGAATCTGTATTTTAACAAGTTTACCAGTTGATTCTTAATAAAGTTTGAGAATTACTGACTCTCATTTCTTCTTGAATAATCTTTTACCCTTGCGTAGCATTTCCCTCAGCTTATAACCTCTAATCAGTTGTCAACTCATGATGGTATTATCCAGGAAACAAAATTATATCGAGCCAGTCACAGTATTAGGCATTTGGAGTAAGAGAAAATTAAGACATAAGCTCTATCCTTAAGGAGTATAGCCTTGTTATGGAGCTATTCATGAAAACAGACAATTTTAATAAAATAACTTTTTATTATGATAAGATATGCTCCAGGGACTGTGGGAGAGTCAAGGAGGGCTACCTAAACCATTCTGGAAAAGAAATGTGTGGTGGTTTCCCAGAGGAGGTTTATTATACGTTATTCCCAAAGGAAGAGGAGTAAACTAGACTAAAATGTAAGGCAATGTCATTTTAAGTAGAGGAAATATATACAAGAGCATAGTGGAAAAAAAATCTTGTGCTTGAAGAAATATAACAACCACTTTTCCTCAAGTGTGCACTATGAGATAGTTAAGCAATAAATTAATCTGGGAATATAGTTAAGGGTAAGATCATAGGAACTGTTTTAAACACAGTGAGGAATTTGGACTTTATCCAGAAGGACATAAATATCCACTGAAAGGTTTTAAGCACAGGATAAAGATGATCATATATGCAATTTAGAAACATAATACTGGCTACTGTGTGGAAAATTGATTTTATAGGGGCAAGCTTGGAGCTAGTGAGTCTAGTTAGGTGACAGTTGCAATAATTCAGATGAAAGAAGAAACTAGAGAAGAGTTACTTAGAAGGGATATGGAAGTGGTGCAAATCTGGTAAATACTTAAGAGTTTAAATCAGCAGGAAAAGAGTTTAAATGTGGAACATGGAAAAAAAAACTAGATTTCTAGAATGGGTGACTGAGGGGAATGGGGTGTACCAAACTGAGACAAAGTATATAAGACAAGGATCTGATTTGGGAAGTAGAGATGATAAGTTCCACAGATGCCATGTTTAGCTATAGGTGCTTATTGGAAGTTTGAGTAGAAATGCTAGGTAGGAAGTTAGCAATATGAGCATGGAACTCAGAAGAAATATCTACACTGGAAATATAGGTTTTGGAGTCATTCATACATAGATTAGAGTTAAATCCGTGAGAGTAGATGAGGAGTGTGTAGAGTAAGAACATTTTTTTTTTAAAGATTTTATTTATTTGACAGAGAGAGACACAGCAAGAGAGGGAACACAAGCAGGGGGAGTGGGAGAGGGAGAAGCAGGCTTCCCGCAGAGCAGGGAGCCCAATGAGGGGCTCGATCCCAGGACCCCGGGACCACGACCTGAGCCGAAGGCAGACGCTTAATGACTGAGCCACCCAGGCACCCCTAGAGTAAGAACATTTAAACTAAAACAGAACGCTGTAAAACACTAATATTTTTCCAAAGCCACCCATGTGTTTTAGGTGTGTGTTACAGCATTACCCCACTTCCAGTCACCAAAATCTGTATTAGTTATATATTGCTGTATAACAAATTACCCCAAAATTAGCACCTGATCATGTCATACAGTTTTTGAGTATCAAAAATCTGGGAGAAGCTTAGCTGGGAGGTTCTGGCTCAGGTCTCTTGTGAGGCTGCAGTCAAGAAGCCCACCAGGGTTACAGTCATCTGAAGACTTGACTGAGCTTGGAGAATTCACTTCTAAGCCTACAGACATGGATATTGGCAAGATTCTTTGGTTCCTCAATAGATAGACCTTTTCATACAGCTGTTTACTATATGGCATAGGACTTCCCCCAGAGTGAGTAATGAGAGAGAGAGAGAGAGAGGGACAGAAGGAAAGTTACAGTATCTTTTATAACATAATCTCAGAAGTGACATGCCATTACTTCTGCCACGTTTTATTGGCCACACAAGCCAGTCCTAGGAGATACACAAGGGTTTGGATACCAAGAGGCAGAGATCATTAGGAGCCATTTTGTTGCCTGGCAACAAGTACAAATCTCAGTATCATCTTTTTTATTCAGAGTTTCCCATGATTAGAAGAGGGATAGTTTGCAATTTCTCTTACAACATGATTGGTATTGTTATTATTGATATTATTATCATCATTATTTATAAATTAAGTCATTTCACAAGTGCTTGCTTTATTTTTACCTTATTTCTCATTATACCCTTCATGCAGTGTAACTGAGTATTAGTGTGAAATATTGAAATGAGGTCAGATCCTCCAAACAAACAATCCTATGTTAAAAATCTGTTTTCGGTGTTAAAGGAGAGAAGGTTAGCACTCCCCTTGACAAGATTGAAAGAGGCTCTCAGGACTGACAACATGCATATGGTTAAGGCATTGCCATCTACTTCAAGGTATCTAACCCTCATTTTTTAGAAGGGGTTCAAACTTAAGTGACCATCAACTTAATAGAGACTGCTATATGCATAAGATGTTATATATGAGCCTAATGGTAACCACAAATCAAAAACCTGTAATAGATACACAAAAAATAAAGGGAATGGAATCCAAGCATATCACTAAAAAAGGCATCAAACTACAAGGGAAGAGAGCAAGAGAAGAAAGGAACAAAGAACTACAAAAACAACTGTAAACCAAGTAACACAATGGCAATAAATATATATCTATCAATAACTACTTTGAATGTAAATGGACTAAATGCTCCAATCAAAAGACACAGGGTAACTGAATGGATAAAAAAAGCAAGATTGGGGGCGCCTGGGTGGCTCAGTCGGTTAAGCCACTGCCTTCAGCTGAGGTCATGATCCTGGAGTCCCGGGATCGAGTCCCGTGTCGGGCTCCCTGTTTGGCAGGGAGTCTGCTTCTCCCTCTGACCCTCCCCCCATCATGCTCTCTCTCTCTCTCTCTCTCTCTCTCATTCTCTCACTCTCTCAAATAAATAAATAAAATCTTTAAAAAAAAAGCAAGATCTGTCTGTATGCTGCCTACAAGAGACTCACTTCAAACCTAAAGACACATGCAGATTGAAAGTGAAAGGGATGGGCAAACATTTACAATGCAAATGGAAGTGAAGAAAAAAAAAGCTGGGGTGGCAATACTTATATTGGACAAAATAGATCTTAAAGACTGTAACAAGAAATAAAGAAGGATACTACATAATGATGAAGGGAACAATCCGAGAGGATAAAACAATTATAAATATTTATGCACCCAACATAGGAGCACCTAAATTCAGAAAGCAACTATAAAGGAGGACATAAAGAACATAAAGGAGGAAATTGTTATAATACAATAATAGGAGAGGACTTTAACACCCCACTTATATCAATGGATAAATCATCCAGACAGAAAATCAATTGGTGTAGCCACTGTGGAAAACAGTAAGGTTCCTCAAAAAATTAAAAATTGAATTACCATATGATACAGTAATCCACTACTGGGTATTTACCCAAAGAAAACAAAAACACTAATTCAAAAAGACTTATGGAACCATACATTTATTGCAGCCTTATTTACAATAGCCAAGATATAGAAACAACCCAAGTGTCTACAGGTGAATGGATAAGGAAGATGTGTATAACACACACACACACACACACACACACACACACACACTGGAATATTTTTCAGCCATAAAAAAGAATGAAATCTGGCCATTTGTAACAACATGGATGGACCTGGAGGGTATAATGCTAATGAAAAAATGTCAGAGAAAGACAAATACCATATGATTTCACTCACACATGGAATTGAAGAAACAAAACAAATGAACAAAGAAAAAAAACTATCAAAAAACCAGACTCTTAAATATCGAAAATGAACTGGTCATTGCCAGAGTAGAGGTGGGTGGGGAGTGTGTGAAATAGATAAGGGAATTAAGAGTATACTTATCTTTTTTTTTCTTCTTATATTTCCACTTTCCTACTATACTCCTTTGAAAATATTAGTTGAAAAAAGAATATAACAGTGTATTTTCACTAACTGGAATTAAAATAAAAGCTTAAAAATAATCAGGGGGAGAAATCGGTTTTTGATTTTGTGCAGTAGTTTTTGCCAGATGGAAAATTTCACTGTTTAGGAGATAAACTATCAGTATTTTCTTTTTTTTTAAATTTTATTTTATTATGTTATGTTAGTCACCATATAATACATCATTAGTTTTTTTTTCAGTTTAAACATTTTTTAAAATTTTATTTTGTTATGTTATGTTAATCCCCATACATTACATCATTAGTTTTTGAGGCAGTGTCCCATGATTCATTGTTTGCGTATAACGCCTAGTGCTCCATGCAGTACGTGCCCTCCCTAATACCCATCACTGGGTCAAGAGTATACTTACCTTGATGAACATTGAGAAATGTTTTGAATTGTTGAATCATTATATTGTATACCTGAAACTAATATAACACTGTCTGTTATTTACACGTGAAAAAACAAATGTATAAAAATGATAAAATGAATAAAATAAAACTATTCTGTTCCCTGAAAAATAAAATAATAAAATACAATGAGGTGGTTTTCAAATATTTTAGTCTCACATTTAAATTCTATTTATATGACTTGCTAAAAATGGGATTTAAAGAGTTATGATTTCAGTGAGTGAAGATGATTAAATAGAATATAGACATATGTGATACTTATGTAATATAAACACTTAAAATAATGTAAAATAATTAAAATAGAAAAAATCTGGTTTCAGTATAAACTAGCTTTGTATCATAAGCATGTTATTTAAATTTTCCCAGCTTTATTGAGTTGTAACTGAAAAATAAAAATTGTATATGGTGGGACACCTGGGTGTCTCAGTTGGCTGGGTGTCCAACTCTTGATTTTGGCTCAGGTCATGATCTCAGGGTTGTGAGATTAAATAAATCTTTAAAAAATTGCATATAATTAAGGTGTGTAATGTGATGATTTAGTATACATATACATTGTGAAATAATTACCACAATGAAGTTAATTAACACATCCATCACCTCACAGAGTTACTGTGTTTTTGTGTCACTGAAGATCTACTCTCTTGGCAAATTTCTAGTATCCAGTACAGTGTTATTAACTATAGTCACCATGCCATACATTAGATCCTCAGAAATTCTTGGTCTCTTTTTTAAAAGATATATTTATTTATTTTAGAGAGAGTGGCGAGGGAGAGAGACAAAGAGAGAGAGTCTCAAGTAGACTCCCCACTGAGAGCAGAGCCAGATGTGGGGATTGATCTCAGGACCTGATCTGACCTTGATCATGACCTGAGCTGAAATCAAGAGTTGGGCGCTCAAATGACTGAGCCACCCAGGCACCCCAGAAATTATTGATCTTATAACTGAAAGTTCATACCCTTTGTCCAACATCTCCCATTTCTGCCACCCCTTGGCCCTTGGTAATCACCCATCTATTCTCTGGTTCCATGGGTTTAGCTTTTTAAGATTTCAAATATAAGTGAGATAATTATTTATCTTTCTGTTTCTGGCTTGTTTCATTTAGCATCATGTCCTCCAGGTTCATCCATGTTACACCAAATGGCAGGATCTCCTTTTTTAAAAAGCTGAATAATATTCCATTGTAAATACATAGACTGCATTTTCTTTATTCATCCATTGACCAGCACTTATGTTGTTGCCATATCTTGGCTATTGTGAATAATGCTGTAATGAACATGGCAGTGCAGATATGTCTTTGAGATACTAATTTTATTTCCTTTGCGTATACAAAATTGAGATTACTGATTACATCTGATAGTGGGATTACTAGAACATATGGAGATTCTATTTTAAATTTTTATGGAACTTCCCTACTGCTTTCCATAATGGCTGGAATAATTCACATTCCCACCAATAGGCACAAAGGTTTCCTTTATCCACATCTTCACTAATACTTGTTATCTCTTGTCTTTTTGATAATAACCATTCTAACAGGTGTGAGGTGATATTTCATGGGTATTTTGATCTGCATTTCCCTGATAATTAGTGTTGTTGGGCACCTTTTCATATGCCTGTTGACCATTTGCATGTCTTCCATAAGGAAATGTCTATTCACCCCTTTGCCCATTTTTAAATTGGATTACTTATATTTTTGCTATTAACTTTTAGGAGTTCCTTATATATATTGGATATTAACACCTTATTGCATATGTAGTTTGAAAATATTTTCTCACATTCCATGGGCTGGCTTTTCATTTTGTTGATTATTTCCTTTTCTGTACATAAGCTTTTTGGTTTGATGTATCCCACTTGTTTAATTTTACTTTATTGCCTGTGCCTTTGGTGTTGTTTCCAAAAAGTCATTGCCACTACCAATGTCAAGGAGATTTTCCCCTATGTTTTCTTCTAGGAGTTTCACAATTTCAGGTATCACATTTAAGTCTTTAATCCTTTGAGTTAATTTTTGTGAATGATGTAAGATCAGGATCCAATTTCATTCTTTTTCATTCTTTTACATGTGGATACCCACTTTTTCCAACACCATTGATTGAAGAGACTATCATTTCCACAGTTTGTATTCTGGGCATTTTTGCCAAAGATTAGTCGACCATATTATGTGTAGGTTTATCCCTCGGCCCTGTATTCCATTGTCATATGTGTCTCTTTTTATATGTCATATATGTCTCAAACTTTTGGAAGAGTTTGAGAAGGATTGGCATTGATTCTTCTTTAAATATTTAGTAAAATTAATCATGAAGCCATCTAGTCCTGGGATTTTCTTTGTTGAGATGTTTTTGATTACTGACTCCATCATCTTACTTGTTTATGGCAGTACCATACTGTTTTGGTTACTACAGTTTTATAATATAGTTCTAAATCAGGAAGTATGATGGCTCTAACTTTGTTCTTTTTTTCTCAAGATTGCTTTGGCCATTTGGGGTCTTTTGTGGTTCCATATAAATTTTAGGACTGTTTTTCTTTTCTAGTTCCATGAAGAATGCAATAGGAATTTTGATAGGGAATGCATTAAATCTATAGATTGCTAAGATAGTATAAATGTTTTAGCAATATGAATTCTTCTAATCCATGAACACAGAATATCTTTCCATTTTTTTTTTGTTTTGTTTACTTTAGGTTCTTTCACCAGTGTTTTCTAGTTCTCACTATGGATCTTTCACTTTCTTAGTCAAATTTATTCCTAGGTATTTTATTCTTTGATGATATTGTAAGTTGTGTGGTTTCTTAATTTCTTTTTCAGATAGTTCATTGTCAATGTCTAGAAACACAACTGACTGTGGTATGTTGTTCTGCATCCTGCAAATGTACTAAATTTATTTTTTAGTTCCAACAGTTTTTTCATGGAATCTTTAGTGTTTTCTTTATATAAAACCATGCCATCTACAAATAGATAATTTTACTTCTTTCTTTCCTATTTGGATGTCCTTTATTTCTTTTTCTTGACCAATTGCTTGGGCTAGAGTTTCCAGTACTATGT